ATATATATATATATATATATATATATATATATATATATATATATATATATATATATATATATATATATATATATATATATATATATATATATATATATATATATATATATATAAAAATATATATGACTTATTCCAGAATTGCAGGTAAATTTCAAGCATTTAGGACTCATCTTACTTAAACTGGAATGATATACAACAAATGTATAATTTACAGCAAACTGAATCCTTTATTTATGCAAAATAGTGGTCACCAATTCCGTGGGTCAATAGGTACAGGGCCGCACAAGAAATCATTAATTATTTCTGTTTTATTTATTAAGTCTGAACAATCTTTATATTATATTATTTTGAAAAATTACCGTATTCTCACGGTTACATTTCGGACACTTGAGAGCCAAAATTTAACCTACGAGCTAGCAAAATGCCATTCACACAGGGCGTCAATGCTTGATGGAGAGTGTGTCTGAAGTTGGGACTAACGCGATCATCATAGCAGCATCATCCAATGAAATTAGTCCGCAATCGGTTATAGGGTATTTGCATAAAGCGTTTTGATTGGCTGACGCTTCTATTGGCCCTTGAAAAGTTACGAAATTTCCAACTTCTGCAGCAAGCACGGATTGACAATTCATTTCGACAATGCTTGACGTCACCCATTCAAAGTAAATGGGGAGTGTTGACACTGACGTGCCATGTGAATGGGGTGTGAGAAACAGACGTCTTTGGAATTCTCTTTTTGCAAAGAGGAAAAGGCCCAGTGAAGGACCCCTTTGTTGAAAGGAGGACCTGATTTGTTGACAATCGCAAATGATGGCAACCGATCACATACTGTATCGTGTCTTTTCTGCGTGCAAGTTCCTTATTTTCAATACAGGCGCACACTAATTGGAAGCAAGTTGCCAAGCGGCATGATGCGCTTACGCCTTCCATGCGCGCCCAGCTAAAGGCATCTTTAGAATGCAGCAAGCACACCGCTAGTCAAGTGACAAGAACTGACGGTTTCATATTTTAAATGGAATATACACATTTCAGTAGACTAATTATTTCAGACAAACACTGCAATGCTTTTTAATTTTCTCCATAAATAAAACGTGTATCAGATTTGCAGCAATGTTTTTGCAGCTTATCATCCTCCAAAAAAACTGTTGATGTTCGCCAAGCACATCCCCCAACCACCCCCTAAATATATATAAGTTGCTCTGTTTATATTTGAATCCTTCCTAAAGTTATATATAGCTCATATCCTTAATCTTCTCCTACCTGTTCTACTTGATGTTTGCAGGGCTGAGGGTGGCATCAGCAAGGGCTCCACTGTTGGATCCTGTTAGACTTAACAAAACACACCTTGACTTTCTTCATC